ATATTTTCAGTCTTTCAGCTTCAGCCTTCCAGAGTGGTGGGATTATAGGGACGAAGCACCATGCCTGGCTAATCATTGGCGTTTTAGAAAATGGTGATTTCTGCAAATTAAAAGAAATTTAAGAATACAGTGGGAATACTGTAAAGTCATATTCCAATTCTACAAAATAAATAAACACCAGTTCTAGATCCCAAATTTGAGCCTAGCCTAGGCAACTTTGTGTCCCAAAAAAGTGGGAGGTTGCTGGGAATGTAGCTCAGTGCAAAAGTCCTGGATTCTACCTCCGGTACCATTAAAACACACAGACACACACAAAGTTATTTTCTTAGGGATGACAGTGTTCTTGGAGTTAGAAAGGCCAAAATTTTTTTTCTTGGTACTGGGGATTGAACTGAGTTACATTCTCAGCTCTTTATTTTGAGACCAGATCTCACTGAGTCACTAAGTGGTTCTGGATGGCTGAACTTGTGATCCTCTTACTATCCAAGAATTTTGTGATTAAAAGTGTGCATCACCAAGCCTGGTTTAGGCCATTGTTATTTTCAGGATATTAGGGATGAAGCTTCATGATACCTGTAGCTTTTTTTGTTTGTTTTTTTCTGTTATTTTTTGTTTGTTTTTTTAACACAGGATATCACTGTGTAGTCCAGGTTGGCCTTAAAACTCACTATGTATCCCAGGCTGGCCTCAAACTTGCAGCGATCCTCCTGCCTCAGCCTCCCAAGTGCTGGGATTACAGATATGTGCCACCACACCCAGCTGATAACCTACAATTTTTAAAAAGTAAAATATATAGTGTGGACAGAAAGAAAGAGCAAAATTACCGTCTGTTGGATCCAGGTGGGTAATGTATACATTGTTGATTGTACTATCCAGCTTTGGCTAGTCCATAACATGTACAATTTATATTTTCCTTTTATGCCTAATGTGTCTTGAGATGGGGTCTCTGTATGTTGCTCAGGCTGGTCCTGAACTCCTGGGCTCAAGTGATCCTCCCACCTCAGCTTTCTAAGTAGGTTGGAATACAGGTATATGCAGCTGTGCCCAGCTCAACTATGTGACTTTTCCAAAGTTTTGAGTGTATCCTATGATTAATGTTGGAAAGGCCATCAAGTTTATTAAAAGCCTAAGTTGGAATGGGAAGTTCAGTGATTCCTGGGTGCAACATTGATGAAATCAATTTTACTTGTCTCTCCACTAGAGTGGAACTTAGGAAAGATTCTTTTTTTTTTTTTTTTTGGTACTGGGCATTGAACTCTGGTCCTTGCACTTACGAGGCAAGTAGCAGAACCACTGAGGTAAATCCCCAGCCTGGAAAGATTCTTTTTGACTTGAGCTTCTAGAAAATGGATGGCTATACTTTTTGTTTTGTTTTGTTTTGTCTTTTTGAGACAGGGTCTCACTAGGTAGTCCAGGCTACCCTTGAACTCATAGCAATCCTCCTGCCTCATCCTCCTACGTGCTGGGGTTACAAGTGTGTGTGCCATCCCCAGCCATTGAACCTCTAGAAAACTGATATCAAACTGTCCTCACTAGACTAATAGTCTACTCAGAAGCTGCCCAGAACCATTTGGTTCATAACAGATGCCTTGTCCTGAAGGTTACCCATCAATGGCACATGTTGGAAGTGGTCCTGCCCTGCAGCCCAGGAACATGTGCTAATTTAAGCCACTTAACTAGCCTTTTGTAACATATACAAAAATATTAAAAGTTAAAGGCTGGATGTTTGGTGGTGCACACCTGTAATCTCAACTACTTGGAGGGTGAGGCCAGGGAATTGCAAATTTAAGGCCAGCATGGGCAATCTTAGATGGTGTCTCAAAAAAAAAAATTGGTTTTTTTGTTTTGCTTTTTTGGTACTGGGGATTGAACTCAGGACCTTGCGCTTGCAAGGCAGGTGCCAGAACCACTGAGCTAAATCCCCAGCCCTCAAAAAAAAAAATTGTTAAAAAAGCAAGCACAAGGACCCGAGTTCGATCCCCGGTACCAAAAAAAAAAAAATTGTTAAAAAAATAAAAAAGAAAGAAAGAAAGAAAGGGGATGTAGCTCAGTGGTAGAGAGCCTGTCTAGCACACATAAGGCCCTGAGTTCAGTCTCTAATCACACACACAACACACACATAAATCCAAAGAAGTTAGGGAAGAAAGAAAAATGCAGATGTTTCTAATCCTTGTGGCTTGTGGATGTGAGGAGTGCCTCCTGTTTCTGCATTTTAAAGCAGTATTCTTGCGGTCCAAAATCTCCATTTGACTGTTTTGAGGGAGGATATATTTAGAGAAGTATTTTTATAGATACTTCCAGACTGGGAATACATTATTTGCATTCTGCTCATAGAAGGAACATTCCCCTTTCCCCCTGCATCCAATTCAAAACAGACTCTGGCCAAAAGATTACTTGAGAAATTTTAACTGCTTTCACTAAAAAAAAATTAATTAATTAAGTTGAACTATGTATAGGGCTACAGTGCTTCCTTGTAGTTTGGTTATATTTTGAAGATAATTATCACTGGTAAAGTAACATCTTAGGAGATTTTCTAAATGTCTCTCACTAATGCAAGCTTTAAAATGTTTAAATCTAGCAACAATGATTACTCAGAAAACTTGGAAAGATTGGAAGCAAAATTTAATAGAATGAACAATGCAAAAGAGATTCTCAGGCTTTGTACTTTAGGAATCTGCCAACAGTCTACTTTTTCCTTTTCACCCCTGCAGTGGGAGGGATAAACCCAGGGCCTCATCTATGCTAGGCAAGTGCTCTGCCATTGAGCTACCTCCCCAGACTCAGCAGTTTACTTTGGTATTTTTGTCTTTGGTACTGGGGATTAAAAGCAGGGCCCTTTTGAACCCCAGTGTAGGGCCTTCACACTGATATCTTTCTCTCCCTCCCTCTCTTCTCTTTCTCTCCCCCCCCCCCCTTCTCTCTCTCTAGGATATCTTGCTATGTAGTTCAGGCTGGTCTTGAATTCACTATGTAGCCCAGGCTGGCCTCAAACTTGAGGTGATTCTCCTTCCTCAACCTCAGTTTTTTATTTTGAGACAGGATCTTCTTAAATTGCCCAGTCTGGGCTTCAATTTACAGTCCTCCTGCCTCAGCCTTCCTGAGTAGTGGGATTGCAGACAAATGCCACCACACCTGGCTCCCCAACAGTTTATTTTAATTCTCACAAAATCAGTCTCAGGAAAGTTAGGTTTTATAAACATTATTCATTCACTTATTCTATAAACATAAATTGCATCTCTCTTCTGCACTATGATGCACTCAGTGGAAAACTGTCACCATCATCAGCACGGATAGAAAACAGAGAAGTAAGTAGGATGCCAAGAGCTGTTGGGCATGGAAACCCAATTTTTTTTTTTTCTTATGGAGCAGTAAGTGCTGGGTTGAGGATCTGAGGACACACAGACTAACCAGTTGGTCTGTGGTAGCCTTCCAGGTTTCTGAAAGTCATAAACACCAACCTCATACTCAAAAACATAATATCAAGCCAGAGATTTAGCTTAGTGGCACTGTGCCTGCCTTGCAAGTTCAAGGTCATGAGTTTGATTCCTGGTACCAGAAAAAAAATATCAAAAGCCCCACTAATCTGAGCACCCCCAAATAGGCCCTCCCCATTGAGCTGTAGACTGAGTGGAGTTCTTACTATGGTACCAAGTTTGCACAGAAGTCCTTGGTTCTGAGTGCCTGGTAAGAAAAGATGGTGGTCTCTTGATACTTAATGAAAGAAGCAAACTGTCAGATCCCAACCCTAACTCTTAGATTGGGAGATCAATCTTTTCAAGGCTTCAGCTGTCAGTGCTTTTAATTTTCTCTGTCCTCAGAGAGGCATAAAAGACATACCAGGACCAGGGGATGTTGTGTGTTGACTCAGCCTGGTAGAAAGAGGGGCCTCAAGCCAGGGGTGGTGGCTGTAATGTCAGCATTCTAGGAGGCTGACCCAGGAGGATCACAAATTTGAGGCCCACCTGGGCAACTTGGTGACTTAGGGAGTTACTGTCTCGAAACAGATAAATAGGGCTGGGGATTTAGCTCAGTGGTTCTGTCCCCTGCCTCACAAGTGCAAGGTCCTGAGTTCGATTCCTGGTACCAAAAAATAAAACTAAAATAAAAATTAAAAAGGGCTGAGGAGAGCCAGGGATTTAGCACAGTGGTACCGTGCCTGCCTCAAAAGCTCAAGGTCCTGAGTTCGATCCCTGGTACCAAAGGGGGGTGGGTGCTGAGGATGTACCTCAATGTGAAGGCCCTGGGTTCAATCTCCAATAACTGAAAAAAAATTACTGCTTATGAATATCTTTGTTGTTGTTTTGTGGGGATATTAGCACCAAATTGCCCTTTCTAAACCCTTACCGTAACTTCCGCTCACCAGTTTAGTCCAACAGTCTTGCCCTGGGAGGTGCTGTGGTCAGATTCTAGGCTCCACTTCCAGCTGTGAAACTGGGACCATAACTGACTGCTCAGCCATGCTGAGGCCAGGCTGCCCAGATCAGTCTGGGCCAGGACAATTCCCTATGCAGGCTCCCTGCCCCTGAGATACTGGAGGTGCCTTCCTGGAATTCTCTGAGCAACAGGTGCTATTTTCCTGGATCCTGACAGTCTGTAGTTAGTGCCATTGGGGACCCCTCTCCCCCCACCCACGTGGCCTCTGTGGCTCCACAGGTCCTGGCACCTGAGGCAGCACCGGTGCTTTAAGAGCATCTACATCAGGCCACACCCAAAATTCAGAGGCTGGGGGCTGGAAAAGGGAGGAGTCCTCACACCTCAAGGTTGTGGGCCTGAATGTACGCGGCTGAGGCTCACTGCCTGCTGGCCCTGAGCCTGAGGCCTGTCTCCAGCCTTGTCCGGCCTTGGCCTTCGAGGGGCGTGTTCGAGGGAACCCAGCCCGAGGACCAGTTTCCAACCAACCATGGCTCCTAGCTCTAGGCGCCTTCCCCACAGCCTGGAGGTCGTGGATTCCTGCAAGGTCCTAAGGGCGCATCTGCAAGACTCAGTGTTCTGGAGGGTCGATGCCGGCGGTGCGCTGTCTGCACAAGGCTGAACTTGCTCGGCCCTGCGCCTGAAACCGTGGCGGAGCTCGGAAGTAACATGGGGGAGGATGTGGGAACAGTCTGTCTACTGCTCAGATTTCTTAGGCCAGGATTGGGGCAGCAGGCTCCAGCTCAGCTCGCGGGAATCCGGAATCTTCCCAGAGGCCAGGCGGCCAGGGCCCGCGGCAAGCCCTGCGCGCTTTGCGCGGCGCCACGACTGTGCGCTTCCCCACTGAGGGGCAGCGCCCAGCCGCCAGCCCCAGCGTCCCGGCGCAGCCTCCACGCCCCTCCAAACTCCCGGCGCAGCGCGGACACCTCGGCTCCGCCGCCGCCGCCGCCGCCGCCGCCACTCCCCCCACATTCCTGAGGCCGCAGTGCCGTCTCCTTCCTCGCATTCCTGCCCCCGCAAAGGAGTCCCTCCGCCCCCTGCGCTCCGCGGGGAGGAGGGGGCGCGGTCCGGGACCGCGGAGCGCACATTCCTCCGCCGCGCGCGCCCTCGAGCGCAGCGCCGCGTCCCCCGGCCCGCGCG